TGATAGAATGCGAGAGTAAACATCGGCAGGGATTAAATTTACCCATGGGCTGATGTTCAAAGCTCTGAAGGATCCACACATGATTATCTTTTGACATTAGTTAACTGCACATGATAGTTTCCTAGTGATATTATAATTGAATCACAAATATGCTATACTGGCAAATGTGGATGAATTTCAACCAATATCAACAGTTCTGCAGTGGGTTTTCCTTCCTTATTTTTCACTAACCAAAGAAGAAGAACATTTTTTTCTTCTTGTAGTTTCATCTTGCTCTTCTGATGCTATGGTTTTGTACATGCCTGCAATTCGTCATTGTGCTGCTTTGTGGCTTATTTATTGTTTGTATTAAAGCTTTAGTTGAGCTTCATCTTTTTTTGTGAGAAATTAAGTTCTTGTTAGTTGTTAGTTTTTGCCACGGGGATTCGAGATGGTGGTATGAGGCTGTAAGATTGTAATTTGAATTATCTGAGTCATGTTACTTGATGGCTAATGTGAGTGCAATTTATCAATTTTCCTGTTAGTTGTATCTTTAGCTTACTGGCTTATCTTTGTTGCCTTCATTGCATTGCTCCTAACTCTGAAGTAATTTACTTTGTGTGAACAGGTCAAGTTGGGGCAATTCGTTTGGGTATCAGTAAGGCCTTGCAAAACTGGGAGCCAGATCTACGTCCTCCTCTCAGATCAGGTACAACTTGTGGGGCTGACTTTTTTTTTCTATTACAGATTCATTTTGCTTTTTCATAGCAAATTACTTACTAAACCTGCAGTTTTCCTAAAGTTAGAAGAAAGGATGTTTTCTTTTACTTCTCAGGTTGGGAATTGTAGGAAAATGCAAGCATGATCTATATAGCTTTAGCTTGCCTACTGATTCCAGCCTTAATGGCGTTGTTAATCAAATATAACCCCACATATTTATTTCTATAGACAATTTCAGCTTGTTGTCATGCATGATTTTTACCCACACCACCTCTTAATTTGCATCTCATTATTGTGTCTTGCCAGTTGGTTTCTTGACAAGGGACCCGAGAGTTGTGGAAAGGAAAAAGCCTGGCAAGGCAAAAGCACGAAAGAGTTTCCAGTGGGTCAAGCGTTGATCTAACAACTGCTAATTGGATTTGACGGAACCAGTTTTTGTATGAGGCAGTGTGACGTCGCTTCTTTGCAATAAGTTGTTGATATCCAATCAGCTAGGCCGGCATCTCTTCCTGTAATGTAGCTTGTAATCCATTGTTCAGCATGAATTGTGGCATAACTAAAAGATTTGTTGATCCAGAACAAAATTATCATTAAATCTCATTTCGGTGCGTTTTTTTGTTTTCAGAAAACAATGGAAAACATCAGTTTTTCTTTTGATCGACCAGTTTGATTAATAGACGATGTTGTTTTTTAATCTGTTATAGTAACTTGCTTTCTTCAGCATTCTTATTATATGCTAGTTACATTTCCGGGACTGTTTGCTAGTGTGGGTTTCCTTCTTTGTTGTTGAGGTTCACTCACAGGCTGGCAGCACTTAAATATGGTCAGCAAACAGTTTTTTGATGAGAAAATTGAAGGGCCTCAAAGACAAATGTCATTGTTCGTATATGGGATTTAGGATCCTTTCCTAGGCTGAACCAATGAACCACCCTTTCCCTTAAAGGTTAAATAGTCTTTTTTTTTTACCATCTCGTTTGTATGATTTTATTTTAAACCTTCAAAATAATTATGTACAAATTGAAATAAATATTTATATGAACCCAAGTTTACATGCCATAGCTCACTAAGATTTGTTATTTTGAGGAAGTGGTGAAAACTTTCAGAAGAAGAATGGAGGGTTGGTATTCTAAACTGCTTTCTGGAATGGGGAGAGTGGTTTTAGTTCAGTCAGTTCTGAGTTCTATTCCAATTCATATGCTTGCTTGTGTAAATATTCCCAAGGGGATACTTAAGCAATTGAACTCCATCATTGCTGGGTTTATTTGGTCTGCTAAACTGGATGTTAGAAGGAGACATTGGGTTTCCTTGGAAAACATTTCTAAGCCTAAGATTGAAGGAGGGTTAGGGATCAGGAGTTTTGGTGAATTACAGTCTGCCTTCAGAATAAAGCAGGTCTGGGGTATTCTAAATGGCCAATCATTGTGGGCCAAGGTGTTTAGAGAGAAGTTTTGTAGAGGAATGCATTTACTGAGGTGTGGGGTGTCTGGGAAGGGTCAAGGTTTTAAAGTTCTGAGACCTTGGTTTGAATTTGTAGTTAATAATTCTTTGATGCTGGTGGGCAATGGTCAGAATTCTGACTTCTGGTGTGACCTATGGATGGACGCTGGCCCTTTGCTTCATAGGATTGATGGTTTACCTGTGGTGTTCCCAAAGATTAGTGAGCTATGGCATGCTAATGAGTGGCGCTTAGATGAGGTGCTGAGTGGCTTACTCCTCAGTTGCAACATGAGATCAGGAGTTCTGGTTTAGTGTTGACAGAGAGGCCTGATACTAGGATCTGGAGGCATACTAATTCTGGTTCATTTTCAGTGAAATCTCCATGGTTCCAGATTAGAAGGAGGGGAGTTCAAAGTGTTATTGCTCAGGGTATATTGAATCAGCAAATATTTCCTAGTGCTCAGTTGTGTACTTGGAAGATTTATAGGGATGCTTTGTCCACTGATGCTAGAGTGAAAAGTGTGGGTGTTTCCTTGGTAAGTAAATGTAGTTTGTGTGGGTTGGAGGAGGAGAATGTTAATCATTTGTTTGTTAAATGTTGTTTTGCTAATGATGTGTGGAAAAGGCTATCTTCTATCATGGGTTTTGTGCTGTGCTCTGGTGAAACCCCTATTTGTAGACTGTTAAGGTTGCTTAGATGTTTTAAGGCCCAATCCTTGAGTCATTGTTTGATCAGGGGAGTTGCTATGTTGATTTACTGGGCTATATGGAAGGAAAGATGAAGGAGGAGGTTTGAGGGGTTGTATTTGAATGCATACACAATCTTTATGCAGGTGACTAGTGCTTTGAGATGGCAGGCTTGTATGATTAAGCCTAAGAGATTGGATGATTGTAGGGGAAAGGAAATGTTGTGGGATTTGAAAATTGCATCATCTTTTTCTGTTATGACTAGTGTTATGTGGATTAAATGGGATCCTCCTTCTGGGTCCATGTTGAAACTGAATGTTGATGGTGCATCCAAGGGGAGTAGTGGACTTGCAGGTGGTGGGATGGTCATAAGAAATTCCCAGGGGCATATGGTGGTGGCAGCTGCTGCTTTTTATGGGGTTGGGTCTAATATGAAAGCTGAATGCCTGGCCTTGTTGGATGGATTGAAGTTGATATTGAGAAATGGTCTGGAGGGGAGTCAGATTTGTATTGAATTTGATTCTCAGGTCTTAGTTAAGATGGTCTTAAGACAGGCAGAAGTGCCTTGGAGAATGAGGGAGGTTTTGGAGCAAATATGGAGGGTTTTGGATAAGCTGCATTTCCAGATAGGGCATATTTACAGAGAGACCAATGTTATTGCTGACTTTTTGGCCTCTTCTGCTGTGCAGACTGGCAGATGTCATGAGTTTTTTGAGAATGATGTGCTGCCTTTTGATGGGAGATTACTTTTACGGAGGGACCAGGGCATGTTACCTACTGCTAGATTAAAGAGGAGGGTTGTGTTCGATAAAAGGAATGGAGCTGGATGAATTAGTGTCTTGATGAGCAGTCTGTGGTTGCTCAGATTTTTCATGACTGAGATATGCCTGTATTGGCAGTGATTAAGTTGATAATTGTCTGCATTGTGGGAGGAGTCGGTTATTCTGATCTGACTGTTCATGACTGATGGCTTGGTATCTTGGTAATTGGTGTGTGCAGTCTGAGTATTCTGCTGTGATTGCATTGCACTTTTCTGGACTGATCTGGAATATTCAGTTTCTTGGTGTCTTGTTGATGTTGTTCTGGTCTTTATTTCTGCTGATCTGCTAAATTGATGAGCTGCTGCTGTTTTTGTTGGAGCTGAATGTTTGTTGCTGCTGGAACTGTGTGCTGAAATGCTGTTGTAGCAGGAGCTGCCCTGGGAAGGCAGGAGATGAGGGATTAATGATGTAGCTGATGCTGTGAGCTGAGCTGAGAAAAGACAGTCCTTGGTTGCTTCATGCCCGGTGCTGCTTTTGCATTGATTGCTGGGCAGCTGTTGCTAAGCTGCTTATGCAGAGTTGCTGGACTGCTGCTGTCTTTATTTCTGCTGAGTTGCTGAGTTGATGTTGCTGTTTGCTGATGCCTGCTGCTGAAGAGCTGCTGGCTGAAGTTGCAATGGTTTGATGGCAGGATCAACATACAGTTATTGTACAGAAATTTGAGGATAGTCTTTCTGTTTGTTGTATACAGTTTAGAGTGTGCAAAAAAGTGTTTTTGAGACTTTTAACTTATAAAAAATACTTTTTTTAAAAAAATAGTGTTTGGATTAACTTATTAAAAACACTTTTTGATAAGTAAAAGTAATTTGAGCACTTAAATAAGTTAATAAAAAAAAGTAAAAATAATTAACTTTTACTTTTAAAAATCACTTTTCATTTTTCATCGTATTTTCTCCTCTCACTCCCCCAATAGCTCTCCGCAAGTCCTTGAGGCCAAAGCCCTTCATGTAGCCACTTCTCTCGACGCAGACGCTGACGCCAACGCCGGCAATATATTCACTCATCTTGCCGACCAACGACACTACCTTCTCTCTCGCCAACTACCAACTATGCCGGAACCGTCTTCTCTCTCACCGATCTTTGAGGTACAATATCTGTGAGATTTTCCTCGGAAAGTCCGCCGGAGATTTTCTCAAGTCATCAGTGAGTTCAACTCTTTCAATTTATTATACTGTCACCTACATCAATGGAATCTTATGCTACACACATTCCACTCTGTATCTCTGTGGACAAATATTATATATGTGTGTGTCTGAATTGTTATGTAGTTTGGATATAGATTAATTAGCTTTTCAAATTTGTTTTCCTACTAAGAACTTGGGATTCAACTGAAGAATCGAACTAAAAGTGTTAATCTGTTCTTATGTTTGTGTGAAGTTGATTGTTTCGCCAGGTGTTTGATATGATGCCAATGAGAGTTTGTTACTTTGAAATAGGTTGGGATTTGGCATGTGGGTATGGTTTTCGGAATGTGGGTTGATGTATTTGGAATGGTTGGCCTATTTTACAAGCCTATTCTATCCTGATGATGATCATGATCATGAACATATATATATATATATATTGGAGCTTTGTGTTTGTCATTATCTTTTAAGGATTAAAGAAATTGGCTGTGAGTGGGTCAGTGATGCATTGTGTGGTTGGGTTTTGATTGCTATATTTAGAAATTTCTGTGGTGAAATGCACCCAGATCTCTCTTTTGTTTGGCTTTAGCTATTTGGTCTTTGCTGATAACACTTTATTTTTTTTAGATCAAAAAAAAATTTCGCTAACCTAGTCCAGCACTGCCCAAGGACACCCCTAATCCCAGAACTACTACTACAACCAAAATTGGCTCTCAACCGGGGTCTACCTAAAAAGTAGTAGAGGGATTTCACCACCACACCCCTGCCCTGGGCAGGGGACATTGCTCAGTGTTGTTTTGCACGACAGACTTATGATGTAATATTGCACAAGCAATTTTGCATTTAAATTATACCCGTTGTTTTAGTCCCTTTTAGAACCAATTGCATATTCATTCTGCAAAAGGACTTGCTTCTCTTATTCAGTTGTTTCTGTTCAGTTAAAAATGATAGAGACTAGAGTTGATGTTTGGTCTTAAATGACCGAAACCTAAGTTAACCTTCATGGCCACTGCTAGAAAGTTGACTAAAGGTAGTCGTAGCTGTGTGGAGTTATCTGTCACTTTAACCATGAGCACTTCCTGAGGAAAGGTCTTTTTTTTTCCATTAGAGTATCATTTCGTTGCTGTTGTTTAAACCCCTGGCCTATCGTGCAAGTTTTGTTTGCTGCTTCCTTGGATTCCCTGCAAGAATGATTCATACTCCAATGAGGGTGGTTTTTGAGCAACTATTTCATGTCATGCCTCCTAGATTATAGGAAGGATTGTTCAATGTTGTTTGACATTGAAATTTTTTAGTGAGTTTAACACACCACAAATAAAAAATTGTACATTTCTATTGAATAACTGTCACTTATTATATTATCACAATTTTTCTTTGAAAAATTCAACTTGTGTGGCTCACAAGGTATTTTTGTGACAACCTCTCATTAGAAGAAAATATGTATGAAATTTATACAAGGCTTTGTTCAAGTTAATTATTATTATACGTGAAGTGCTAATAACCTATGTATTTTGTGATGTTACTTTAGATGGCTTCTAGTAGTTCTAGGAATGACAAAGATAAATCAAATTGGATTGTGGAGAGACATAAAACTTTCAAAAGTGGAACTTGTTTAGGTGTTTTTTTTAGATAAAGTTTCAAATGTTTTTTTTAGTTTCAAACATTTGATTTCACTAAACAAATGTTTATTGTTGTTGCTTGCATGACTTGCCACCATTACATAAGGCTTCATGGCATTAGAGACTTATTATTTGCAAGATATGCTAATGAAGATGTGGAGTTAGAGGACGAAGACAATGTAAACCAAATTGCTTTTGAAGAGGATATTGATTTGTCAGATACAAATCCAATGTATAGGAGGAGAGAACGTATTGTGTCAGCAATTCTAAGGGACAATCAAGCATGATTTTTGATTGTATTAATTATTAACATGTGTTTTTTGCGACTTTATGTCATTGAGATAGTTGGACTATATAGTTTTTTCGTATGATACCTCTATTAATATGATATTTTTGTCTATGATTTTTTTTTTGTGTATTATTACATGTGTAGTATATGTTTGTATATGTGCATTCAATACTATTAATAATTGGGACAAAAATAAGTGTTTTCACATCCAAATGTGTTTTTTATAAAATACATTAATTTAAGTATTTTAAATTTTGAGTATCCAAACAATACTTATTTAATAAAAGTGTTTTTCTTTTAAACACTTTTGATAAACATTTATTAAAAAAGTACTTTTTGGATTTCATAAGTCATCCCAAACACACTCTTACTGCTTTTGTTTTAAAGTAGTTACTGTTTTCCTTAATTTTTTTTGTAATTCTTTTTTCATGGAATAAAATTTTCTTTCTTTTTGGCAAAAAAAAAAAAAAAAAAGAACTAGCACTTCTAGACTCTCTCTCTTGAGTTGTATTTAGAGTGTGTTTGGCATCACTTAAAAAAAAGTGTTTTTGAGACTTTTAACTTATGAATAATACTTTTTTTAAAAAGGTAGTGTTTGACTTAACTTATTAAAAACACTTTTTAATAAGTAAAAGTAATTTGAACACTTAAATAAGTTAATAAAAATAATTAACTTTTACTTTTAAAAATCACTTTTCATTTTCTCCTCACTCCCCCGATAGCTCTCTGCAAGTCTTCTCACTCCTCACTTTTCATTTTTAACTCTCTGCATGTAACCGTTTTCTTCTCTCTCGACGCGGACACCGACGCCGATGTTAGTAATATATTCTCTCATCTCGCCGACCAATGACACTACCTTCTCTCTCGCCAACTACCAATGACGCCGGAGCCAAGGAGCTGATGTATTTTTGTTCTCTTCTATCTGCCTAACGAGCTATTTCAGGCTGCAACGAGATACAATATCTTCTTTCCTGGGTTGATGTATTTTGGTTTGTATTTTTTTTTTTTGATGATGATAAAATTTCTGGAAATCAAGGAGCTGTTTACGGTATCAATTTTTGATGTATTTGGGGAAATTGTTTTTTATTTTTTTGATCCATGATTACTATGAAAATCACTATATTATTTTACTTCCATAATTCATTGCTCTTTCTCACATTTAATTTTTAACAAAATTGGACAGTTTGATAGAATGCCCACCAATTGTTTGATAAAATGACTATCAATTGAACAAAAGCACCGTAGCTAGAAACATCCTGATGTTACTGCCATTGGTGCTTTAATAGTTGCTTTAATCTTGCTTAAAGTGTTACTGCCATTGTTGGTTCTTTGTATGTTATTACTTCTCCTCTTGCCAACCAGTTGCACTTTTGTGCAAGTAATTGTTTTAGATTTTGATATGCAGTGGATTAGGGGATGTTGTGCGCCTCAAACAAAGTGTAATCGGTAAACCAGTGGCTTCTATTTATGAAGTAATCGATGATTGAGATTACAAAGTGGCATAGCGCACAGTACATTCATCACATAATCAGGTTCCAAGGGAACCAAAGCATACAAATCCTACTGTCTGTACCTCTGTGTGTGTGTGTGTGTGAGAGAGAGAGAGAGAGAGAGAGAGAGAGAGAGAGAGGCCCGAATCAAGCTCAGTTGCAGAGGAATTTACCATAGAAAATAATATATAAAATTGTGCAAGTAATTGTTTTAGATTTTGATGAGCATTTCAGATAATGGTGTTTCATTTTGTTTTAGTAGAATAGTGATAATTAGGAGATAGCAGCGTAACAGTGATTAAGATGGTAGATGGAACTAACTCTGATGAATAAGAGGAAAATTTTCTGGCTAGTAATTCAACAGAGAGCCATGACTGCAAGCATTTGAATCTTAGGCTTAACACTATCCACCTATAAGATTAGCCCTTATCTGTGATTGGTGTTTATGGTTGTTCCTATTCCTTTTGATCTTCTGGTATTAAGGATTACTGCTTGGAGAACCAAGAGTTCAATTACGACATCTTCTTTGGGAGTAGAGTATTTGTTTGTATGGAAGACCTACTTTTGGTGCTTCGAGTGATATTAACATATTTTTGCAGCACTTTGTCTCTGTAGGGCAGGGAGTATAACAAATATAATGCTTCCTTTCAGTGTCCTTTTTCCGCCTTGAATTTCTCTCTACCAAAATGATAGGTTCTTGGACAAGAGAAATCCAAGGATATTATGCTGTCAAAGAACCTTTCTAATGTCTGTCTTCCTCTTCATGGGGTATGGTTGATTTACTTACCCAAAAAGAAAAGGTGGATTTGATATAATAGGACTTTTTTAATGGCTTTGTTCAAGTTAATTATTATTATACGCGTTGTGCTATTAACTTATGTATTTTGTGATGTTACTTTAGATGGCTTCTAGTAGTTCTAGGAATGACAAAGATAAAGCAAACTGGACTGTGGAGAGACATAAGACTTTTTTTGAGTTATGTGGCATTTAAGGTTAAGTTGTTTAAATGCTTGCCAGAAGTTGCTGTTGTGGTTTTTTGTTTGTCTTTTCTTCTTTTCAAATCATCAATATTTTTTCCTGGCA